GGTTCGATCCCGCCTTTTGCCGAACTTTTTTTTTCTCCCTTTTCAAATCTCGTATTAGCAATGGATTCTATTTACACTTAGTGAAAATAGCAGTATTTTTATCAGTATGCTATTTACACTATGTTAAAATAGCAGGATTTCTACTATCAAGTATACTACTTGTTGCAAATAGTGGGTCATCAGGAGGTATGAAGTGTAACACTGGATATCAGGTAAGATTTATGTGGGTCCCAGCACATGTTGGGATTAGGGGTAATGAGATGGCGGACAGGCTGGCTAAAAGGGCACTAACAAAAGAGAACATAGAAATGGAGGTTAATGTAAGTAAAGCAGAAGTTAAATGCATAATATGGGAGAAAGTCAATATAAGGTGGCAAGAGAGGTGGGAAAGAGAGGAGAAAGGGAGGCATTTATATCAAATTCAGAGAAATGTTAAAGAGGAAAGGATGGAAATTGGAAATAGGAGAGAAGATGCGGTGATGACTAGGTTAAGGTTGGGACATTGTTCACTGAATAAAACACTAAAGATGATAGGGAAGCACGAGACAGGGTTGTGTGAGGGATGTCGAGAAGAGGAGTCAGTGGAGCACATAATAATGACTTGTAAGAGATATGAAACACAGAGGCAGGTAATGAAGAATAAACTAAGGGAGATTGGGGTGCAGGAGATCACATTACAAGGGTTACTAAGCACAGTAAATAGGGCACAGAGTAGAATATTGATTAATTTTTTAAGGGAAGCAGTGGTTTTAAGCAGGATTTGATGTATGATGTGTGGTGTGGATATTAATGTGAGGGGACAATGTGAGTGATGTGTAAGTTTTAGTGGGAAAAGGGAATAGATAACCTATTATCTGATCCACACTCCGGAGCAGAAGGGGGCGGTAATGCACCAATAAGCTGGATGCCAACCGCCGTTAAACTGGAAAGAAGAAGAAGAAGAAGTGTAACACTCCCATGCTGTAGGTGGAGCACTGCATCAAACTCCACGTGTGACTGTCTCCACCACAGTATCTCCTTGAAGAAGTCACACACACATGCACCTCTGTGACAGCTTTCCACTGACAGTCATTTACTTTTTTCCTGATCTCGGTGGCCCCTCCGTGCAGACAGCGCCGGGAGATGCCGCGGTATGAGCTGTGTGTGATCCTGAAGGCGATGCAGAGGCCGGAGACCGCGGCGGTGCTGCGGCGCACGGTGGAGACGCTGCTCGAGCGCGGCGCAGTGGTCAGGGCTCTGGAGAGCCTCGGCGAGCGCAGGCTGCCCTACAAGATCTCCAAACACGACTCTCGCCACACGCACGGCGGATACTTCTCCGTCGACTTCCACGCCTCGCCGAAGACCGTCAGCAAGTTGCTAGATCACCTGGAGCGGGACATTGACGTGCTGCGCCCCACAGTTTTAAAGAAAGACACTGAGCTTTCCCAGGCGCAGTGCTGTGGAGCACAAGCTGAGAAAGCGAAGAGTGCCACTTCCAGATAAACGTGAGAATCATTGTGTTTTCCTGATCTGTTTTTACTTTGAGGGTAGGGATGATGTGTTTAGAGAGTAAAAAAGAAGCAGATAAAACAATGGACAGAATGTTCCAAATGAAGTAGTGCTGTCAAACGATTAATCGCGATTAATCGCATACGAAATAAATGTTTTTGTTAACATAATATATGTGACCATGGACCACCAAACCAATCATGATGGTCATTAACTGAAAGCTGAATAAATATGCTTTTCATTGATGTATGCTTTGTTAGGACAGGACAATATTTGGCTGAGATACAGCTATTTGAAAACCTGAGAGTGCAAAACAATCAAAATACTGAGAAAATCACCTTTAAAGTTGTCCAAATGAAGTTCTTAGCAATGCATATTACTAATCAATAATTACGTTTTGATATATTTACAGTAGGAAATGTACAAAATATATTCATGGAACATAGGGCTGCACAATTAATCGAATTTCTAAATCGCGATTACAATTATGGATGCCACAATTACATAATCGTTCAAAGCGGCAATTAATCATTCAGAGTCCACTTATGTTATTCTGCACGCTCAGTTAGTGTGTTTTCAGCTTGTTTATTTTCATATAAAAATACAGCATGCAGTTGCATCAAACAATGGTACAGTGACGTGAAAAGGTTTTTGCCCCCTTCCTGTTTTTTTTTTATTTTTTGCATATTTGTCACACTTAAAAGATTCAGATCATCAAACATATTTTAATATTACACAAAGATAATGCAAGTAAATACAAAATGCAGTTTTTAAATTATTATTTTATTAAGGGAAAAAAGCTGTCCAAACCTGCCTGGCCCTACATGAAAAAGTAATTGCCCCCTAAATCTAATAACTGGTTGTGCCACGCTTTGCAGCAACAACTGCAATCAAGTGT